TGGCGCACCCATACACACACACACACACACACACACACACACACACACACACACACACACACATATATATGTATATCATTAATTAAGTCACATTTATTCATCCCCAAAGGGTGGACTGCTTCATTGTATTAGCTTCCTAGTAACATAATTAACATGCCATAAAATGTAGCACCCATTTTTTACAACAAAAAAATAAGTTAATCTTACCTAAACAACAGCATGAGTGCACCAAAAAATGTCTTAAAGTTATTGTGTTCGTTGATATGGCTTTTTGGATTTAGCTTGATGTTGCCGAATACCTTTAGTGAAATTACAAACACATAAAAGGTGTCCGTCACATTTTCAGGCTTAACGAGGTAAAGTATTAAAAAAAGGTGGGGAAAAAACAAAGGAAGAGATAGAGAGAAGAATATAAAAATGGACAGTCTGGGGACAAAGACAACCTTTACCTGCATGCCAATGATGGCATAGATGAAAAACAGCATGGCGATTAGCAGACAGACATATGGTAGAGCCTGCAAGACGAATCTCATGTTAAACACTAAACTCAAAAATTTATATTAAATTATATTTATTTACATTTCCTGATGAGAATACCTGTGCTTGCAAAGCAGTTCAAAAATAGTGTGTTAAAAGTTTTAGGTAAAATAACTCTTTCCATTAATAAACTATGTAACCCAGATGCTTGATAAAGACCCATCATTATTCAATAATGTGCAAATATTACAATTACATAACTGCTGGTAGTTACTGAATAGCAAGAACAAAAGTTCAAAGCTTACAAAAAATACAAAGCAAATTAAAGTTGAAATGATCTACAAAACAAAGTTTTAATGGTTTAAAGTGGAAGTAACATTTTGTAAAAAAAAACAAAAAAAAAAAACAATACAGTGCAAAACTTTGAGTGGCTGTTATGAAACTGCAGAACAGCAGAACTCTGAATCTATTCTTTAAAAAAACAAAAATTCTATAATAAGCATATTTGGTTCAAATAAAAGCAAATAGAGTTTTTAGAATAAGGCCCCGATCAGACAGAACGCGTTTTTCAGGTTTGAAAACACGAGGTCTACCACACTGCCTTTTTTTGGTTGACTTTTTTTAATTTATGAAAAGAGCAGTGCGCTGCGTTTATTTTTATGTTGCCAGGAAACTACGGAATCGGCTGTCCTGTCAGTCTAATCAAGGATTAGCACGAGCGCTCTACAATCTTTGGTTTGCTGTTAAGTAAACTGTCATATTAGCAGAAACTTAAAAAAAAAAATACAGCCCTGCGACAGCCACCACAAGTTTCTCTTCCATCATTGCAGTCTCCGGACTTCTCAAGCAACTGTAAACTTTCGTCACCACAATGGAAGGCCCGCCTCTCCATTAATTCGATTGGACAATCGAGAAAAAAAAAAAAAAAAATGAGATTGACGCCGGGCGCTTTTGTGCTCAGAGTCGCTTTTTTTCAATTTCAAGAGCTCCGAGCACTCCTACAAAAACATGAGGCGCAGCTGGCGGCTAAATCGCGAGGCGCCTGGGGCGCATAGAAAGCGCACATAATGCTCACTGCCTATAGAAAACAATTTAAAAAAGGTGCCTCTCACTGTAAAAAATGCATTCTGTCTGATTGGGTCCTAAGGCATTTCAATGTAGTGCTACTGCAGTAAAAGCCATGCCTGACCTTGAAAGACTGGACAAAAGTCCAAAGCAGAATACGGATGGTGTAGCCCTGACGCAGAAGTTTAATCAGCCGAGCTGCCCGGAATAACTTCAGGAAGCCCATATTAAAACTCTGCAAACCAATCAGAACACAGAGGTGATTGTTTATGCAAATAAATACTGGACACAAACCAATCTGAATTCAAAGGTCACTGCTTGTTGAAATAAATACTGAGCACATAGCAATCACAAAGGAGCTTGCTCGTGCAAATAAATACTGGCTAAAAAGCAATTAGAATACGGATGTAATTGCTCATGCATATGACTACTGCCCACAAAGAACACATACTGTATATGAAGCTGATTGATTTCTCACTTTTGCTGTGTGGACTTTGTCAACCACAATTTCAGTGATGCTTCCTAGAACTGTGATGAAGTCAAATATATTCCATGTGTCTCTGAAATAATTCTGAAAGATATAAAAGTAATAATGAATGCTAGAAATGCATTTCATTGTATATATACAGTATATACTGTATATGTACAGTGTATACACATATAGAGAGAGAGAGAGAGAGAGAAAGAGAGAAAGAAAGATAGAAAGAAAGAAAGAAAGAAAGAAAGAAAGAGTTATCATATTTCCAGTGTTTGCTTACCGTAATACCAAATGCCAGGATCTTGAGAACACATTCCACAGTGAAAATAACAGTGAAAACAGTGTTGAGGTATTTTAGTACATTGTCATAGCCGTCAATATTGTCATGATGCTGATAGAAAGCAAAAAAGAGAGACAAACAGAAAGGTTTTATTTTTTTCCACTAGTTTTATATATAACTTATTTTTACAATTTACATATCTATCTATCTATCTATCTATCTATCTATCTATCTATCTAATAACCACATCCTAGAAAACACTCAAAACACCTTAGCAATTATTTGGTAATGTCCTAACAACCACCCATAATGCCTTAGCAACTGTCTAGCAACATACAGTAACACCCAAGCAGCAACAGGCTTGCAACTGCCACCCAAAACAGCTTAGCAAACAGAAAAGCACCAAAGCAACAAATGAGCAACACCCCAGCAACCACCTAGAAACCAGGGCCATTGAGTGAGAGAGAGTTGTGTCATCTCCATTCACTCCAATAGACCACTTTGTTTTTTTATGGCAATGGTGGATCATGGAGCCTCTTGATAGTTCTTGGAACTTATCGCCAAATACTATACTGCACACTTGCAGCAGAAGAGACTATTGTCTGGGACAGTCTACTGGATTAGTTATCATTATCATAAAATAATTTCTCTTAATGCAGTTTCCTCTATCGTTGTGTAATTCGAGAAAAGGCTTCTTTTGAACTTCCTATTGGTGTGATCTTTGTGGAAAAGTGCAAACATCGAAGTATGATTACATCACTTTTATTTACATGTTCACTTGTTGTTGCTGTTGTTGTAGACTTTACAGCCATATTTAGATTTTTACCCCTGCAAGGACATTCAGATGATGCCAACTCTGAATCAACATACAAAATGTTTTTTTGTAACATTACTTCATCACAGTCACATTTGATAACAGATTTGTAATGTAGAAACTTTGTAAAGGACAACATGCTATTTGGATTATTAGAAATGTATTAATAAATACACTGCTGTAAATAAGTGAATAGCAAAAGTCAACATGCATAAAATATGATTAAATGTGTAAAACAATGTCTTAAATTTTGATGTGAATATATTTATATATGAATAGTTGAAAGGTGCATAAGAATTGAAAACATTAAAGTATAACTATTTAATTTAATCTTATATTTCACTTATTTGCAACAACGTGCCATTAAGATTAATTACACCCTCAGTAACCATGACTCATGAGATTAGTAAAACCGCAATGAACATTAAAACTTGATTGCACGTGACTTGAAAAACAACAACAACAACATGATCTTTAACCACTTTAACAACACTGATATAATGTGCTATCTAAATGTTATAAATAAGCGCATTAATTGGCTACAGATGACCAAAAATCGCAGTTCTGTCTGTCTCACTCTATGTATTCCAATTTTTTGCCATGAACTTTTGATGCCTATACGAATCACACGACGAGACGATCATAAATTTCTGCCTAGCAATGTCTTGGCAACCACTGAGTATATCAACAGCTTAGTGATACAATTATACAAAGCACTGAGAGCCAAATTCAAATCTTTCTTAAAACTGCCCAAGTATTCAAACAACTTAAGACCTAGGCCTAATTACAACACAGACCATCCTTTTCTACTAATGTCACTTGTGCTGTGCAGGCTTACAAATAATGTTAAGCAATAGCCAAAGCTATTTACAGTAAGCATCATTTTACACATATTCAATTCTAGAGCCATTCTAATGTGGACACCCACATTTCACGATCCAATTAAAACCTGGATGGATGCTAGTATGCCAATAAAGCACTCTGAAAATTGAAACTGAAAACTAAATTAATAAGACAGAGAGAAAGGAAGCTGTTCAGACTTCAGTACAATAGCTAAAAATATCTGTGCTCTATTACTCTCTCTGTGCTTCAGTGTTAGGCAGACCACCGCAGACATGATGACTAGTGGAGGCCGACCTCTAACTGCAGGTGAAATTAGTCACGGGAGATGTCAGGCTAAAGCTAATGAGGAGAAGTTAAATAGTAGCTGGTGCTTCAGATCAATATTTAATAAGCTGTGACTCATGACTGTCTGGTTTTCTAGCAGTATCACAGACCAGGGGTCACCAGCAGGGGCTGAAAAACAGCTAAATCAACCCAATTTATTTTGACAAATACACCTACAGAGAAAGAGGTATTGTCCCAGGAAAACTCACAGGCTCTAGACGATACCAACGATGAGCTCTACATGGTCAGAAAAGAACTCAAAGATGCTTATGAGCTGAAACAAGAGCCAAGAAAAGAGAAGCAGCTCTCAGCCTCACCACTGCTGAGCAGGCGAATTTCATCTGGAAATGAGACCGCATTTGACTGACAGAGACCGGATATACCTCCTAAGAGCCTCCTAAGTCCTGAGGTACGAAACTTCCTAGATCGACAGCCCAGTCAAACAAAGGCAAGCTACCAGCTACTTCGTGAGGTTCTGATTAAAGAGTTTACAGACCCTGAGTCTGAACATGGACTGTTAACTGCTCCGACAAGCCTACTTTGGTGCACACAACGAACCTGACCTTGAAGAGGATGTGAACTTCAAAAGCCTCTTTCTAAGAAATCTGCACCCTGGAGTCAGCCTCCATCTAGGCGTCATGGCCTGTCCGCGCTCCATGACCACCCAACAGTTACGTGACCTAACACAGAAGGCCTACAACAAGCAGAAGATGGCCTCAAAGAAAGGTAACAAAACATCCACACTCTTGAACTCTGTCACCAAAGACTCAAGCCTTGCACTGGACGACACCCAGTGGCATCACGACACCAGAGTCTTCCATCAAGAGCACAGAGAACGTGATACCCATGTCCACGACAGCTATCAGCCCAACCACTGGAAAAATCCATGGGGCTAGCCACGCTTCTCAAGAAACCCAAAAGATAAGAACAACTGGAAATCTAACGAGACATCCAAAGGTAATCGCCTGACTCATCCAAGAGCAACTCGTGTGGGTAAGCGACAGCAAAACCCACCTCAGCACCACTCAGACATGCACAGTGCTGAGTATGCACAAGAGCAAGACAGCTTACCATCAGACGACATGGAACAAGTCATGAGACAAATGAAAGAGTTCCTTCAAGCTAAGCTGAACATGGATGACCACAAAGTTGAGTCATGCTCGCTGTGACCAGCGACAGAACGGAAGGCCGGTGATCACCTGGTACACCACATCAGAGATGACAAGCACCTGTTCAACAACCACCCAGAACGAGCAAGTCTCTCACGGCCAACTGTTGATGAAAACTCTGAGGTACCAAAGAACATCACCTCAGTCACCCAACGCTCACTAACAAACTGTCAGGTTAACTGGTTAAGGTCTCAGTGATCAGCCGTAAAACAGTGATTCTGTCCAAATTCCCTTTAAAATCTTAAATGATTCCCTTTGAGCTAAATTTACCTGTTTCCCTTACACTTAAAATAAGTTTACATTTAATTTTCATAAAGACATTTAAAAGAATAATAGTCCTTACATTTCTGTCATTATATTTAAGGGATAATGTACAGTTATTACAAACAAACCCTTTCAGCTTCAGCATAACTCAACGTAAAGTGGAGGGAAGGATTTTTTTTTTGTTTTGTTGCATGGCTACTTATCAAATAAATTAATAAATAAGTGGAGGAAACAGTGATTTGAAATAATTTTTATTATGGTAAAAGAAAGATCACAGTGCAGCAACATAAAGAAATTCCTCCTTACCTTCATCATGAGAACGATGGTGTTAAGGGCGATCATCGTCAGTATGGTGTATTCAAATACAGGAGACACCACAAAGTGCCACAGCCGGAACTGTAAGGTCTGTCTGTTCTGGGGCATGTAGCGAGTCAAAGGTTTGGCACTGATGGCAAAGTCGATGCAAGCCCTCTAAGAGAGAAATATACAGTAAGAATATTTCTCGAACACATTTGCAATTTGCAAAAGATTAACTTGCACTTGCACTTTTCTGCACGATTAAGGTCACAATGCCTGAGAAAAAAGCTAATATGACATTATTGATGGTTAAAGGGATAGTTTACCCAAAAAATGGTTTCAGGTTCCACTGACTTCCATAGTATGGACAAAAAATGCAATGAAAATGGTAGAGCTCAACCTGTGCAGAGCACATGCCTTTTTTGCCCTTACACTCCGAAGTGCCCTTTGTTTGTTGGTGCTGTTTTTTTTCTTCAATAAATCAATGCTATTGGTCACCCTTTACGTCTGTCTGTCTTGTTTTACAAATATTTAGCCAATGAAAGGTATTAAAAAAAGCTTGTGACTAAATCTTGTTGGATCCGCTCAAACTGTCAGTAAAACCTCATAACTCCACCCCCTCTATCTTGACTGAATGAACTGAAGTTCCACAGCAGCTGAACGAAGTCTTGCAAGGGTAAATAAAGATCTTGTTGTTTGAGTAAGTACAGCAATACCAAATGTATTTTACAACAGGAAAAACCGAGTGCCCATATAGCAACAACAAACCTGTTGATGAAAACGTAATGTGATGCCACCATTTTAATGATGGACAAAATGCACATTTGCACACATTCGCTGGTCAAAACCCCCGTAACTGCATTTGAGTTTGACATAATGTGACTGAGTGATCCTCGTAAAATATATTTCTAAGAAATGTCTTCTTTGATTCATGATTGCTGATACACTTAATTTCTTAACATTCTTATTATATGGTTGCATGGTTAATTCATGTTTATGCTGTTAATATGCACGTATTCACTAGCTAGCTAATTTTTGAATCTAGTATTCTATACTCTCTACTCATCTTCACATGTATAAATGTAGTAAAACATTTACTACAGTAATGTTGTAGTAACTAAAAAAACATTACAGAATCAGATCACTGTGAAATCTTTATATTTTATCATGTAGTATATATGCATACACATATATATATATATATATTAGTTTATTTGCAAAAACTCTTTAAAAATTCATTTTCAAAAATCATGTTTTTTATTGTTATCACATTTTTATTGTGTTTTATTGTTAGTTAGCTGTATTTTTTAGTTATTTTTTTACCTAATCAAAATAACCCAACTGCAGTTTGACTGAGATTAATTGGAATGTACAATGAAAAAACACGATTTTTGAAATGTTTTAAAAATGGAGTTATCTGTTTTTGCAAATGAACTCTTCATATTATATATATATGCCACTAAGATGTGACCAATAAAAAGGGGGGTGGGGGCTTTTTCAGTTTCCGCACATGCCCCTCAAAAGGTCTGTGCACGGCCCTGCACTCTCTCTCTCTCTCTCTCTCTCTCGTGCACATGCGTGGGTGTTTGTGGAGCGTGGCTGTGAGAGCGACTGTGTTTTTTCCAACTTTCACGGTTAGTTTGATTTCTGTTTTTTTGTTTTATTTGTTTGGAAAAGTTGTGTAGGGTTAGAGGAGTAGTTTTTCTTTTGATACTGGCCATTATGGCCGGTGTGAAGGAAAGAGTAGGGTTAGAACAGCTCACCCGACGGCATGGAATTAAAGTGCCGGTCGGGAGTGATTGTTCTGTGGAAGAGTGTAGTCTTACGGTTGGACAGGTGATCGGACATGAAAGTATAAGATCAGCTTCTAGAATGAATAGTGCTTTGGTTCTTTTTTTGGATTCAGTAGATAAGGTTAATAAGATTGTTGAACAAGGTATTGTAGTGAAAAATGCACATACTCCGGTTTTTCCCCTTGTAAATCCGGCAAAGAAGATAATTTTGTCAAATGTACCGTCATTCATCAAAGATGACGTTTTAGAACGCGAATTGTCGCGTTATGGACAATTTGTTTCGGCAATTAAAAAAATTCCGGTAGGATGCAAGTCACCGCTGTTGAAGCATGTTGTGTCGTTTAGACGACAAGCGTTCATGGTGTTAAAACAAGGAGTTGATGAGCTGAATGTTTCGTTCAAGTTTAAGATTGATGGGTTCGATTACGTAATCTTTGCTGCAACTGAAACAATGAAGTGTTTCAGTTGCAAAAGAGAAGGACATTTGGCTAGAGATTGTCCTGAAAAGGAAAGAGAACAAGAGTCAGACTTGATAGAAACTCAGAGTAGTAATACAATTACAGAAAATGAAGTGACTGAAAATGAGCAAAATGAAAGCAGAACCGAGAATGATGTAGAATCTAATGCACAAGAAAAGGAAAATGAAGCTAGAGAGAAAATGGTAAAAGAGGTTGAAGAAATTGTTTCAGGGCAAGAATTAATGGAAACAACTGAACTTAATTTAAAATTGCCAGCTACAAAGCGTAAAGCAACAAGTAGAGGACAGAGTGAGAAGAATTCAAAGAAGGGTCATGTCAAAGAAAAAACTGAGATGAAGGATATGAATAAAACTGATGCTAGTAGTGAGATGGAATATTCATCAGAATCTGATAGTGAAAAAGGAATCTACTCAAGCAATGATAAATGTAAGAAAGGAGGAGAAGTACGATTTGGATCAGTTTCGCAGTTTTTTACAAGTAACAAAAGGAAAAAGAAATGTGGTTGTTGATGATTTTTTTCCAAATCTAGCTAATTTTATTGAATCTGCAAGAGAGGTGATGAAAATTGTGGGAGGAGATGGTCTTGCTGAGACTGAAATATATCGTCTTAAAAAATTAGTACAAAAGATAAAAACACAAATGAAAAAGGATGAATTGGACGGATCACAATAATGGATGGATTTGTCATGGAGTGAGGTTTGTCTTAGTAGTCATAACATTTCTAATTATGGCTGAGTTCAAGATTTCCTCACTAAATTTAAATGGAGCACGTGATGTAAAGAAAATAACTTATTTTTATGAATTAGTCAAATTAAAAAATATCAATATATCTTTTGTACAAGAAACCCACTCATGTATAGAAAATGAAACTGATTGGCAAAGAGAATGGGATGGGACTGTTATAATGAGTCATAAAAGCTCCACTAGTGCTGGTGTAGCCATTCTTTTTTCAAAGTCCTTTGCACCTTTATCTTATGAGGTAGATGAAGTTATTGCAGGAAGATTAATTAAAGTTACTGCAAAATATGAAAGAAAAACAATAATTCTGATCAATGTATATGCTCCTGTTTTTGCAAAAGAAAGAATGTTGTTTTTAGAAAAATTGGCTAGTACTTTGGTAGGATGTGATTCAGATTTTCTTTTTTTAGCTGGAGATTTTAATTGTACAATCAATAATTTAGACCGAAATCATGTTGAACCACATATGGCTTCAAGAAATAAACTTGCAAGTATTGTGGAAACATTTGAGTTAGCAGATGTATGGCGTGAAAAACATGGAGATTTTAGACAATACTCTTGGGCCCATTATAGAGAAAACTATATTTCTATGGCTAGGATTGATAGAATATATTGTTATAAACATCATTCACAGATTTTTAAATCATGTGCTATCACTCCAGTTAGTTTTTCAGATCATGGATTGGTATGTGGAGTGGTTTTTATTAATTCCCTTAAAGTAAGAAGTGCATACTGGCATTTTAATGTTTCTTTGTTAAATGATAATTATTTTAAAAAAGGTTTTATGTTTTTTTGGGGACAATGGAAAATGAATGTAAGGAATTTTGAATCAATTCAACAGTGGTGGGATGTGGGCAAAGTTCATATTCAACTATTTTGTAAACAGTACACTCTTAATGCCTCTAAAAATATTGTTAAATTAATTGAAGATGTTGAATCTGATATAATAGAACTCCAGATTTTAAGTGATTCAACTCAAGATCAAAGCCTTATGCAGTCAATAAAAAAGAAAAAAGTTGTTTTAACAGAGCTGCTTGGAATTAGAGGACAAGGATCATTAGTGAGATCACGTTTTCAGAATTTGAATGAGATGGATGCACCAACCAGTTTTTTTTTTGGTCTTGAGAAAAAAAAACGGACAAAGCAGATTAATTCATTCATCGTGGGATGATGATGGAAATGATTTGACAGAGCCTTCTGAAATACGGAAGAGAACTGTTGAATTTTATTCAGCATTATATGCCTCTGAATATAAAGAAGGAATGAATGTCACACATAATTTTTTTGAAGGTCTTCCACATGTGTCAGCTGAAATGAATGCTGTACTTGAACAACCATTGTCATTGCCTGAAGTATACTCCGCTGTGATGAGTATGGCCAATGGTAAAGCTCCGGGAATTGACGGAATCCCCATAGAGTTTTACAAAACTTTTTGGAGCATAATGGGGTC